TCTCCCTCTGACCCTCCTCCCTCTCATGCTCTCTGTCTCTCATTCTCTCTCTCTCAAATAAATAAATAAAATCTTTAAAAAAAAAAAAGATTTTATTTATTTGAGAGAGAGCATGAGCGGGGGGAGAGGGAGAAGCAAGCTCCCCTTAAAGCAGGGAGCCCAACGAGGGGCTCGATCCCAAGACCCCGGGATCATGACCTGAGATCCCAGGACCCTGGGATCATGACCCGAGCTGAAGGCAGACACCCAAACAACCAAGCCACCTAGGTACCCCTGCCCCCATTTCATAGAGGAAGATACTGAGGCCCCAACAAGTTAGAAAAGGGTCCAAGGTGGGGCATCTGGATGGCTCAGTTGGTTGGGCGTCTGCCTTTGGCTCAGGTTGTGATCCCAGGATTCTGGGATTGAGCCCTGCATCTCCTTGGGCTCCGTACTCAGCGGGGAGTCAGCTTCTCCCTCTCCCTCTGCCCCACCCCTCTGTCCAGGAGCATGCACTCTTTCTCTCTCTAATAAATAAATAGAATCTTAAAAAAAAAAAAAAGGGCCCAAGATCACAATGCAGGAATCTGGTTGAGGTGTGGCTCCTGCCTCTGCCCACACCCCCCACGCTCCACAGACTGGAAAGTGCTCTGTATGTGGGCCTGTCCTTATCAAGGGTCTTTCTATTCCTGTCTTTTCCATACTTATTTCTGATTTAGCTGCCTGTTCCCACTTCCACCTCACTCCTCAGAGGCTTGATGGTGTTCCTGCTTAGCCTCAGGCCTGGACTTTGGTGAAGCTCAGAACAACCAGGAGCTCTGACCACCCATCTTAGCCTAAGCCTTTCTGGATCCAGCACCCTCTTCCCTCCTGAGCTTTCTTAGCCACATCTCTGGAGCTGGGCCCCTTGGAGGCCCTGCAGCCCCCGAAAGTGATCCGCAGGGCTTTGCGTAAGATCCTTTGGGAGAGGATGAGACACTGTTATCCCCTGGCTTCAGAGCCTAAATCTTACTTCCTCCAAAATGCCTTCCCTGACAGATGGGCCTTGTCAGGGCCCCTGAGCACCTTCCCCTGCTCTTGTTTTCATACTGGCTTTCACGCTACTAGGTAGCTCTGGGTTTTTCTCCTGGGACTGGTTCTAGGTCTTTGTTGGTCTAGATTTTGGGGGTGGGGTTGGCAGGAGTGGAGGGATGGCACAAGGTACACAGGTCAGACAGACTCAGAACACAGGAGAGGTGACTGTGAATGACAACTTGTCATTTACTTTCAGCTTTCAGAGCACTTTCACACTGTTTTATGTGACCTTTCCACGGCCACTGGTAGTAGGGGATAGATCTGTCCCCACACAGAGGTGAGCACACTGGCTCAGAGTTGAAGGGTGGTCTGATAAGGGAAGAGTTGTAGCTCAGTGGTTGATCACTGGACTCTGGAGTCCAAGAAACCTCAAGAGACTTCCAACCTGAGAGCTTCATACTGTGTGACTATCGACAAGTCTCCGCCCTCTAAGCCTCTGTCTTCTTGTCTGTAAAATGGAGGCAGTGTTATGACTCACTTCTTAGGAGATTAGGAGCATAATGAGGGAATTCCCAGGGCTGGCACATAGCGCTCCATAATCATTACCTTCAAAAGTCAACAGACCCTCCCGACTCTCTCCAAAGCAAGTGCTTTGGGAGGTCCAGACATGCTGCTGACAGGTCCTTGCTCTCCAGGGGCCCAAGGTCTCCCTAGGCCACAACAGTGAAACAAATGGGCGCCAGCAGATCACTAGCAAAGCTGGAGTTCAGCCCTGCCTAGGGCAGGAAACCTCATCCAGGTGATTGATTTCCTCCAAGGAGTGCCCTGAGGCCCCATGGTCTTGCGCTGATAACTATACTACTTACGTCCTTGTTCTATGGCAGGCACAGAGGCAGAGGTCATTCAGCACATTAAGGGCCTGGCCCATTATTGGGGCTCAATTAAGATTTGTGGGATTAATGAGAAGTTAATTCGAATCTTCACAAAAGCCCCAGGAGCTTCCCTCGCTTTACATATGAAGGAACTGAACTGGGCTTCCGAGGTACTGTGCACACAGACATCAGCGGGCGAGGAGCTGGTGCCGAGGGCTTTGGCAAGGCTGGGGGCGCAGAGGAGTGGAGACTCATGTCGCCCCCGTCCCCTGTGCAGGCGCTGAGGCTGTGGAGACCCGGAGTCGCCACAGCTCGTACCCCGCGGGGACCGAGGAGGAGGAAGGGGTGGAGGAGGAAGAGCTCAGCCCTTTCCGGGGGCGCTCGAGCTCAGCGCCCCCCAACCTCTGTGCTGCACTGCGCTATGGCCGCGAGCTCCGGAGGATGAGCGACGAGTTCCAGGGCTCCTTCAAGGTGAGCGCCGGTCCCAAAGCGTGTCGGGATCTGTAGTTCCGGGACCCCCTCCTCTCCCTCTGGCCTGACCCTTCCTGCGTCCCAGGGCCTGCCGGTATCTGTAGTCCAGACCGTGCGTCAGAAGGCTAAAGCGCCTGAGTTCCCCAAATCCTCGGGGCGCGAGGCATGCTGGTATTTGTGCTCCCGGTCGGCCCCTTTCCGATATCCGGGTTCTTTGGCCTCAACTTCAGGATTACTTAGGTCTTGAATTGCCGTCCCGGCTTCGCGGCTAGGTCTCGGTCTCTGGGGCTGACAGGGTCTTAGGCGTTCTCTCCCCGCGTCCCTGGCACGGTACGTCTGGGATCGTTATAACCAGTCCCATTCCTAAGGGCCCAAGCGATCCTTCCACCTTCCTCCCCTCGGTACAGGGCATGCCGGGGAGCTATGGTGTTTAGGTCCGCCGGCATCTCACTTAGCGGTGGGATTCCGGAGGTGGAGGGCTCCGACTCGGGCTGCCAGGACAAGCTAACTCATTTAACCCTTTCCTCCTCCCACCCTGAAGGGACTTCCTCGCCCGAAGAGCGCGGGCACAGCGACGCAGATGCGACAAAGCCCCAGCTGGACGCGCGTCATCCAGTCCTGGTGGGATTGGAACTTGGGGCGAGGAGGCTCCGCCCCCTCCCAATGACCAGTCCCACAGCCCGAAACTCTCCCCCCTTCCCGGCGCCGCCGGCGGCCATCTTGGGTGTGGGCGGAAGTCTTTTCCGCAGGCTTTATGCAAGAAAGAGGATCAGTTCTTTCCTTTTCGAAGGAGGCGATCTGACCCAAAGGCCGAATTCCCTTCCGGTGTGTACGAGGAGTACGGAGGGGTTTGGCCCCGTCGGAAGTTTTGAAGTTTAGCCGCCCTTAGCCGCCGGAAGTGGCCCCGTGACCCCGCCCCCGGCGCTGGGCTACGCCTAGCGTCTGCACCAAGTTGCAAGCCGGAAAAGCCCTAACTTCACCAGAGCCCTTTCCTCCGCGGTATCGCTGCGGGCCATCGCTCGCAACGAAATGTGCTAATAAAGCCCGCGTTTGTGCCTCCGAGTCTCCTCGCTCCGTCGCTTGGGGCTTCGCAGGCTGGGGAAGCGCTAGCTAGCACTGACAGTTTCAAAAGATGCCCTCGCTTTACACGGCTCTTTCTGAGTGACTTAACCTGGAAGCGGGACCAGGAAGGGGTCCAGGCGGCGACCAGAGCCAGGGCTGCTTGGCCTCCGGAAAGCGGAGCGCAGCCGGGCCTCGGGCACCTCCGGGTCCTTATCTCTAATATGCTAATTGGGAACTGCAGGCCGGCCGGCCGCCGGAATTCCGCACTCTGCAAACCGTGCCGCCGTTCCCCAGGGAGGGTCATTTGTTCCTATTTGGGTCAGTCCTTTCAAATAGCTACTGTGTGGCCGGCCTGGAGCCAGCTCTGTCCAGGGAACTGGCAGGACGCGCGGAGCAGGGGAGGGGGCGACGGAAGGCTGGGCCCAGGGCTGTGACTGGACTAGTCACTAGGGAACTGAGACTCTTCACCAGGACCTGGGAGCAGAGCTCGGAGCTCAATTCCAGAAAGATTTATTGGCGCCCCCTATAGACCAGCCAGCGCTTGGTACCGGGTATACAGAGATGAATTACGCCACAGCTCTGCCATCAGAAGCTTCCTGGCGGCCGGGGGAGAACCAGCCTCTTAGAGTGGAGTTACCGCCAGCTAAGTGCTATAACAGGGACTCAGAACCGGGGTGAGGGCGGCTCCCTCCGGCAAGGGGAAGTCCGGGAGGGCTTCAGGGAGGAGGTGAGTTAGCGCTGGGCCTTGAAGAGAGATGGAGGAGGGAGTGGTCATTCCCTGTAGAGAAAAGAGTGGACCCATGGAAGGATGGGCGGAGGGGGGGCAGCAGAGGCCAGGATTCTGAGGGGGCTGGAATGTCATACCGGGGTGTTTGGACTTTAGCCGGGCCTTTGAGGACCCAGGGACTGACATGGAGTGTTTCTGTAGGTAGAGACAAGCCAAATCAGGAAGATAGGCCTTGGTGGCTGAGGTGCCTGGCCACGGAATACAGTAGGCCAGGCCTACTCTAGGGGACAGGACCAGGCCTGACCACAGACGCAGAGAGGGTTTGGACAAATGGTATTAACCCTGAGGGAGCCGGGCAAAGGGGAGAGGCCCCCAGCCCTGGGAAGCACCCGCTCTGGAAGCCCTTGCTCTATCGCCTCCCCACCCTATCTGTTTGCCTGAGGCTGCAGCAAAAACAAAGAACGAAAACACTCAATTGGCAAGGAGATAAGCCCCGATAAGAGGCTGCCTTCCTCTGGAGGAGGGAGGCAGTCAGCCCGGGAAGCGCCAGGAAGCTGGGAGAGGCCTTGAAGAAGTGCCAGCCTGACCCTGTGGCAGAACCTAGCCGCACCCTCGCTGCGGGGTCTCTGCCACTCCACGCTGTCGCTGTCCCGAGGCGGAAGACAGTCTGTCATAGAGGGTCCAGGCCCGCCCTGCCTCCGGGTCAGGACATCTTGACTTAGCTGTGGCCTGGCACATGTGACTTCTGCTCTGGGCCTCACTTTCCTCATCTGTAAAACAGGCATAACGTCTCCCTCACAGGGATGAGGGGGATGCTGGGTCTCCTGGTCCCTGTGAGCATCTGTGACCGTCAGCTTCCCTTCTCCCAGGGGTCATAACCAGCCCCCCCATTTGTATCACTGAGAGCCCAGGGCCCCTGATGGTGGACAGGTTCTGAGCGGACCAGGTCCATCCCCGATTAGAGTCAACTGCCTGCGAGGGGCCCAGAGCAGCCTCGGCGGAAGATGCTGGGCGCTTGGGTCATTATCAGGCGACAGGAAGGGGGGGCAGGGAAGGCTTCCTGACGCAGAGGCCTGAGCCTCTGTGAAGGGAGGACAAGAAGAGCCCACGAGGGAGAAAAGAAATGGGAGTTGGCGGGGGGCAGAAGTGATGGGTCGGGGACAGAGGGCATAAAGGCGGGAAAGCCTGGGGGAGGCCACTGGATGTCAGGTCATTGTGAAGATCTGCAAGGACCCAGGCAAGGAGGTCTCAAGGTTGAAACCCAGCAGCCCTCCGCTGGGGGCCTGACCTCAACCCCACAACGCCCACCAGCCCACTTTATAGATGAGGAAACCAAAGCCCCAGGAGAGCGGCGGAGCCAGGCCCAGGGCCCAGGGTCCTCTCCAGAACTGCCCCCCACCCCAAACCACACTGCACACAGGGTCCCTGAAATCCACTTTTATTCATGTAAAAAAAAATTCCCAAAGAATAGAGAAAGCATGTGACCCCCTACTTCCCAGAGCTCAAAGTCTCTGCCAGTGTTCCCCGGGGAAGTGAGGGAGACAGCTCCCACTCTGGGGCGCGGGTATCATGGGAGGGCGAAACCCTTGCGGCCCACAGTGACCCAGCACCTTCCTTAGGACTGAAGGCAGGAAGGAGGGGCTGGGGACGAATGGGGCCCCAGGAGGGTGAAAGAAGGGAGTTAGTGTGGGGTGCTTGCCCCAGTTTTAAAAAAATAAAATTTCTAAAGATAAAAAGTTAAAAAAAAAAAAAAAAGCATTAGTGTCTTAGCTTCCTGCCCTCCCAGCACCCTTGCGGTGGCCACCTCTTGCTCAGCCAGTTCAGAGCTTGGTGTTCTCCTCTTGGCTCTCCGAGTCAGCGCCAGACAGGTGCCCACCGCTCCCAGGTGCGTGCCCGTTGCTGGCACAGGCCACCAGATGCCCGTCCCCCAGCGCCTCCGGCGTCTCGCCCAGCAGGCTCCGGCGGATCTCCTGGGGCAGCCTCGCCCGCTGCTCCTGACACTCCCGGGCCAGCTGGGCCAGCAGCTGAGGGAGGAGGAGGGAATGACAGGCGAGGCCCGGCCACCCGGCGCTCTGCCCGCCCGCTGCCCGCCTCCCCCCAGGCCTCACCTTGGGCTCCTCTTCTACCAGCTGCTGTAGGGCCTGCTGCTGCCCACCTGCGAGGCGCTCTTGCCGCTGCTTCTGGGCCTCCTCCAGCTGCAGGGGGGCGGGGGTGAGGGCTGGGCTCGGCCGAGGGTCTCTGAGGGAGGGGCGGGGAGGGCCCTCGGGCTCTGGCTGAGCACAGAGGTCAGGCAGGGGCAGGCTCCCAGGACTGGGGGGTGGGGGGAGCAGGGCTCTGAGGTGACCCTCATGGCAAAGGTTCCGGACCCAGAGACTCCAAAGCCATGGGACGCTGTTGTAGACGGTTAGCTCTGGATACATCAGGGCCAGAGAGGGCCCAGAGCAAGAGGCTCTGGAAGTCCCTCTAGGGCAACATAGCCACTCCCAGGCAGGCCAGGCACTGAGGAGACAAGGTCCTCATGACTGAAGGGAGAGGGGGGGTGGGCTGGGACCAGGGTGGCACCTGGCCTCACTCACCCGACGGATGGAGTTGACCGACTCGGTGATGTGCCGGCGGTTAATCTCTGTCAGTTCCCTGCAGGGAGAGAGGGAGAGGGGGCTCGGTGCCTGGCCCCCGGCCCTGCCTGCCCGGCCCCCAGCGGCCCCCTGCCCCCAGCAGCTGCCAGCCCTCCAGCGGCTCCCGGCCCCAGGGCCCTTACGCCTCCTTCTTATGTTTCTCCCTTGTCTTGGCCTCTGAGATACTGTTGTGGCGCTTCCTGTCCAGAATCTTCTGCAGTTCCTTTTTCTCCCTGGAAGAGCCAAGTGGGGGCGGAGAAAGGGTCAAAGGCAGGTCCGGGGGCTCTCCTCTCCTCCGAGCACCAGGGAGTCCCCTGCCCCACCCCCCACAAGATCTTCTGCCTTCACCTCTCGTTCATCTCCTTCAGCCTCTTGAACTGAGTTGTGTGAGCATCCAGGACAATCTCCCTAAGCCGCTGCTGAGCCTGCGGACACAGGTGGCCAACAGGTGACCCAGGCTGATGCCAGCTCTGTCCGGGAGGCAGGCTGTCCCTTGCTGCCACACGCCCACCTCACCTGTCTCAGGTGCTCCAGCCTCCGCTCAGCCTCTGTATCCGCCTGGGCCTCCCTCAGCTCCAGCAGACTCTGCACCTGTCTCTTCTGGAATTCTTGATACCGCTTCACCTCTTCCTCCTCCTCCTTCTCGTTCTCCCCGCCTCTGTAGGAAGAATCCCTCTGGGTGATCCTCAGGTTGTCACCTGGACTTGGGCTGGGAGGGCAGTGGCGGACAGGGCAGATCCCAATAGGCAATGGCAGAAACCAGCCCGGGGGCGGCGGGGGGGGTGGGGGCAGGGTCTGTGATGCCAACAACCAGGCCCATTAGCTCCGGGGGAACGACCTCTGGGAGCCTGTAGGGGCAACAGTCTCTGGGAATACAGGCTGCTCGTGGGGGACTTCAGCCGAGGCGCGGCTCCCTGGCAGAGGATGGGGCCCATGTGGAAGGTTCCTCGATCTTCCTTACACCAAACCTTGACTCCCCGGGGGTCAAGGGGCAGCCCCTGGCCATCCCGCCGTGCCCACCCCATCCCCGGCCCTCAGTGAAAACCCCCACAGGCGCACACACCCTCGTAGTCATCCCAGGACACGCCGCCCACAGGCGTGCGGGCAGGTGGGACACTCACAGGACGCCCGGCCGCTGGTGGCATTTGCTCTCCGCCCGGGCCTGGGCCAGGCCGTCGAGCAGCCGGCGCGTGAGGGCCACGGCCTTCCGCTGGTGCTTCTTGTGCAGCTCCCGCAGCTCTCGCTCCTGCCGGCTCCGGAGCTTCACCAGCGCCTTGTGGCCTCGGAGCTCGTCCAGCGGGACCGGGGCCACCTCTGAGCAACAGAGCAAAGGTGGGTTGGGTGCGGGCGGGCGCAGGCCGGCCCGCAGGAGCACCCCAATCCCCTCCGGGACAGCCCCGCCTTGCACCTGAGAGGAGACTGGCGATGAGGTCGTCCCGCTGCCCTGCAGAGAGGAGGCAGGGCTGTGAGGGGTGGGGGAAGCACAGCGGAGCTACCCCCACACCCCCCCATCCCCCAACCCGCCCCCCATCCTCCAACCCACCCTGGCCGCCCCTTACCTGGGCTGCTGAGGGAAGAGCTGGAAGGGGACGTGGCAGGGCCTGGGGGCCGGCGTGGGGAGGTGTCCAGCGGGCTGGGTGTGGGATTTGGGGTCAGCT